CGCCTCAAGCAAGGTCAAATTGCAGCCCTATGACCAGGCGCTTGGATGCTTGTGTGCCCGAACCACTTTTGCGACAGAAATGCATCCGCGTTTAGCAGCGCTGAGCGTGTCACGGCAGCCTGGAGGGATCCGCGAGACCAAGGAGCCAGCGCTAGCACATAGTTGCTTTCAACGTCCCAGTCAATGTGAACACGTTTTTCATGACTGCCTTCGACAAACCAGTCTCGCCGCAGTATTGAGAGCTCACCGAAGCTAGCTACCATGGTGATACTCCAAATAGCATCTGACAGGTAGCGGTGTGATGCAGCGCCTCTGAGCAGGCTGTGAGTGTAAACAATGATGCGTCATATGATCGGTAAAGCCTTTGAGGAGACACGTCGCCGGCGGTCCTTCGGTTAGTGGGTCGTTACCAGCGCGAAATGCCAGCAAATACCATCAGCATCGCTAAGGAACAATCAAACAGAACCCTTGTCGGCAGTAAGATGACGAAGATAGATGTCGATGCGGCTGCAGCCATTGTGGCTGACTGATGCAATAAGCCCCACGTTATGTGTGACGGCGCTGCCCAATAAGCGACAAGCGCCATGCATGCAGAGCCTTTCGAAAAGGAAATAGCATGCTCTTTTGATCAATCGGGCTCGTTCCAGGCAGCTGCATTGCGGAAATATTTGCAGAGCTATCGAAGGCTTCCATGCGCCTTGTAGCCTCTTGCATTGAGGGACTATCTAGGCGACACCGTAGGATTAAGGTTTGTAGGCCGTCGCACAGCGAACGGCGGTATGCAAGACCGGGTAGACGACCCGGAACAGCGTTGGACGGGAGAGAACAACAAATTCGTGATTGAACGTACGGGGGCATAGGCGCCTGAGAGAGTAGAAACTAGGAATGTGGATCGAGTTGAGCTCGATATCATGCAGCCGCGACAACCATGCGACATAGGGAATTGATCGCATCCTTCGTGCAAAATGATGAGATTGTGATACGCGTGCAGTGACACGCTCAGGGCCGGCGCGTAACGGAGACCCCGGAGGTCTGATGTGATGGCATTTGAGAATTGCACGTTGAGTGGTTCTGTCCAAGAAGCCGTGCCGACCGGTCGCAAACCTCTCCGCTAGTCCATGAACGGTGAAGGAGCAATGGCCATCGGCACAACGACTCGCGTGACAGTCCTCCTTTCATGCATCGAACGCGGGCGGAATTGCCGAACGGTGTGTTGAAGCTGTGCCGCATGCAACTAATTGATGCCAACAGTTATGCGAATCTGCATCGCCTTCTTATCGAGATTGCCGGTGACCTTGGGCCATCATTACGGCTACGAGCGTGCGGCGGGGCCTTGCACAGCCATTAGCGCCGGGAGTGAAAGCGTTGCGGGGTTTCGCGGAATACTTCCCCGCGAATCTTGTGATACGATCGGCTAAGGAATCATAATCTTGATGAAACCCCGCATGCGAGTCGTTATATCCGAGTGTTTGTAGCCGGCTCATCATGTAGTACAACACCTTGATACCCAGGTACGAAGAGTAAATACGGAGCATTGGCGGTCAGATCCCAGATGCTTGGGCGGGTACCGAGCAATACGATGATGGAGGACCGATGTTGTATGGTACCGAAGCACTCTGGGCGTAACGTGCTGCCGAATAGTGTAAGCGTATGTGCAGATATGCTTGTGACGTTGTGCTGAACATATCCTAGCCTCTCTTCAGTCGGCTTCTCCGATTTGCCAACCGGAGACCTGAGCGTATAGCTATTGACGATGTTCGGTTGAATTTGCAGAAGACACATCTAGAATTACTCTCGGATGTGCTCGCCCTGAGGGAAAGGCTTCTCGGCATATTGACGAGTGCGACTCGTAAGGCACTAGAAAGACGGGAAGAGGTATACATCGCCGTAATAGCACCTGGAGGCTATGAATACGCAGTAGCGGTGTTGGCGATACTTGCTCTTGGAGCTGCTGTAGTGCCACTGACTCCAGCCCTACCCGTAGAAGAGGCAGTCTACTTCATCGAGAAGTCAAGATCAGTGCTGGTTCTTGCCAGCTCATCAAATATGACGAAATGTCGCGACCTGGAAACCCGGGTTGCATCGGTGAGTAACAAGAGCTTCCAAGCCGTAAGCATTCAGCCAACAAATTCGTGTCCTACCCTCCATGCTGGAGCCATCATCATCTCTTCCGACCGTGCTTCGGATGAGAATGCGCCCGCTGTGGTTATCTTCACCAGCGGGACTACTGGGCCACCTAAGGGTGCAGTCATGCGAAGATCTTTCATCTTTGATTGTGCACTCGAAGTGGCAGATCATTACCAGCTGACGGAAGATGATGTCGCTCTCCATGTCCTTCCGGTGCATCATGCGACCGGTGTTGGCATAAACTTCTTTCCATCTCTCGTGGCTGGTAGCCGTATCGAGTTTCGCAGCGGAGGCTTTGACGAAGAGCAAATGTGGGAGCGATGGAAACAGGGCGCTTCCGATACCAAACGACAACTGACCGTCTTCTCTGGTGTACCTACTATATACATGCGGATGAGACGGTACTATCAACAACAAATAAGCAAGCTACCCGCAGATGAGATAGCGAAGTACGTCGCGGGCGCAAGACAGTTTCGAGCCTGCTTGTGCGGAACATCAGCACTGCCGCAGCCAATCGATGACTTTTGGAAGCATCTGATGCAAAAGCCTATCCTGCAACGATACGGAGCTACCGAGTTTGGGGCCATCTTCAAGATGCGCCTCGGCGACGAGAGCGTGCCAGAAGGTTCAGTGGGTGAACTCGCCAGCGGCGTTGATGTCAAGCTATCCGAAGGAGACGAGGGAGAGGTGCTCGTGAAAAGCCCAGTAAGTCTTATACGAGTCGGGTTGATAGGTTGTGCTAACCAACTTTAGCATATGTTTTCAAAGTACCTGCGTGATCCTGAAGGAACTGCAAAAGCTCATGATCGAGATGGATACTTCCGAAGCGGCGACATTGCGCTACGAGAGGGCAAATATTACTTCATTATCGGTCGGGCGTCTCTAGACATCATTAAGTCAGGCGGGTACAAGATATCGGCTCTGGACGTCGAGCGCGAACTGCTGAGTCTGCCATATGTAGCCGAAGCCATGGTGGTTGGTGTACCAGATGAGGAGTACGGGCAACGCGTCGCTGCACTGATCTCGCTGCAGCATGAAGTAACGCCTTATGCGTACTTGAGAAACAACGACACCTTCCGACACGTCTTAACCATCGACGACTTGCGGCGAGATTTACGCGAGAGGTTGGCTGGGTACAAGCTACCCACGCTGTTGAGAATCGTGGACAACGAGCTTCCAAAGACGATAACGGGAAAGGTGCAGAAAAAGATTCTTGGACCGCACTTCTTCCCTGCCAATTATCGTGAGCGTCCCGAGGTACAAACATGGGTTGCGCGATCTTCAGAAACGGCCCTGGCGAAGTTGTGAGATCGTGGACCCATCGCGCTGCAAGTTCTTTTCGCCGATGTTTCTCGATCGCGCTGAATGATCATCGTATGGCCGCGATCGCGCAGATAAAGGATTCGCGTTGTAGTTCCCGTGTGGAAAAGTAATTCCAACGCACCAGCACAGCGACACTTCAATCTTTATATCGTGTCGATTGCTTGGTTGTTATGACGAGCGCATGGAATGTGATGATGATGCGTTGGAGCTGTATGCCGCACTAGCGTGCACGTGATGTGAGATTGACCGGCCCCGGGGGTGGCTCATTCCTTCCAAGGTCTCAAGATACCTTGTTTCCTCAACCACCGTTATCAACCTTCTCGTCATCTCCCATTTCATGTCATAGAGCAACACAATCGGAGTCGCGATCTACTAATAGCGGTCATCAATGCGCCCATGCGTAGCCGGGAAAACGCAGGTCGGAAAGACGGCGACGCCGCTAGCCACATGGCCACTTCACGTAAACCAGGTACTTGTCGGTAAACGTGTTGACGTTCATCGCAGGTGCCATGATATCGCGATTTTATAATTTACCAAATTTTAGTGCCCTCTTCACATCGACATACTATATCCCAAAGCACTCACTCCGTAGCTGGCGACATTTTTTGCTTCGCAATCTGGTCTTTACATGGTGTTCCACAAAATGGCTGATTAGGACCTGTAATTTATGCCTCCACCATTATTTCAAGCGGCCAGATCACTGATCGTGCTCATTTGATCACCCGACTCCGCTTCACACGACATTCCTCACATCAATGGCCCCTCCGTAACCTGAGCACTTCGACACACTGCTACCTATTTAATGGGGAGTCAACTCCACTATTACACTACAGCTACCGTAGCAGCAAACAGGAAGTCTGATCTGTAGCAAAATCCAGGACCGTTTACACAAATCAATAATGCCTTCAGGGATGGATGCCTACGATTTTCTCGAAGCTCTTCGACGCGAATTTGACTGGCACGTGCGACAACATAGGGGAAAAGAAGTGCATCGTGCACCCTCTCTTACGAACCCTATCTTACCGATGTTTGCTTTGGACCGCTGGGCCACTGGTCCAGGTCAAGAGACCTCCGAAATTTACACAATCATGCGACCCGCCTTACAACTTGCATCGCTGTGGCTGACTGAGGATATACCGCTGCTCTGGTTCAGTCATCTAACTTTTGGTGAGCGCCGTCGCAATGCAGCCGGCCAGGTATACCTTGAGAGAAACCCCCACTATTCAACTCCAGCAGCTCTCCAGACTGTGAAGGCAAAGTTGCACGAACTTGGCAAGACAAACTTCTTCGCATTCGCGCACCCCAAGTGCAAGAAAACGTCTCACGGCACAACATATTCTCGCAGAACGATGATACCTCATTTTCGTGAGTTTAATCACACCGACTTTCCACCTGTCCTCTCCGATAAAGGTATTGACAAACCTTGCATCGTTTTCTCACGCAGATTCATCAGGTCCTTTCGGTCGACAAGTGTAAGTGCGAACGAACGGTATAGAAGCCTTTTCATGTTCGCCGTTGTTATGTGCCATGAGGTCGCACATAGTTACAGCATGTTCCAGGGTGACGGCGGCGACGAGCCACTCGGGGCTGCAGATGAAAAGGTTCCCGAGCTGGGTTTCTCATGGGAAATGAAGGTACTTGGTCATCTCCCGATGCCCAGCAGTGCCATGAAAGTGGACGGCCGGTTTCGGGAAATACACGCCGTTCACTTACTGGAAGCCCCGTCAAACGCTGAACGCGACAAGCTACTTGCACTCCTCGTAGGTAGCTCACGCGCCGAATTCACAACCCGCGACGTCTCTGGAAAATATCGCAAGTGGCCTAAATTGAACGGTGGAGAGTTTCGTGGTGCGAAATGGACGATGAGCAACAACGGACAACTCTTCATTGCCTCCTTCCATATAATTCCAATGCACTGGATGGTGTCTTGGTTCCAACGAGATGTCTGGGAAGCACTAAAGGCCCGTTGGGCGCAGAAAAAGTTCTACGAACCTCCAGCTCTAGGCCAGACCTTCATGGCCATTTATGAGAGGACTATGTACGGAGTGCAGGTTCATCGACCTCTTTACCCAGACAATCGTGTAGATGCCATGATACTCGAGGAACATCGCAAATCAGTTCAGAAATAGGCCGGTGCGCGGATGGGATGTTAATGCGGGTTGCAATGCAGTTGTAGCGTTCACCAAATACATGGATAGGTATTGTCTTGTTATCACCAACCTTTTGGCACAGAACTGCGGTGACTCATCAGGCGCTCCAGTGAGACACCCAGAAGCCAGTCATGAGTCCGAGTTCAATGTGCTTAGCCATCTTTGTGATTGCCCATGGGAAGGCTGAAGTTCACCTAGGGCTTCTTCTTCCAGGATCCTTGCGGAGGTCACGCCGCAAAGACCCTCTATACACGCTTTGAGCAAAGAGTCCTAGTGCTTACTACAACATATAGACTTCATAGGTTTGTTAAAGAAATATCGGAGACCGGATGATAGAATGCGTGACGAGAGCCGTGATGTAGAGAAGTGTTACGTCTTCGTCGGCGTCGCGGCGGACATCGGCGAACGAAGCCCGGATTTAGCAATGCGCGAACACAAATTCCGGCACCGGCCATCGTCGTCATCGTTCTCATCACGACAACACCGGGAATCAAGCCAATGCAGTGTAACGCCCTGGCGTCATGATTGGCTCTCTCGACAGAACCGGCTAGAATGCCGGGCTATCTTCTCTGTCTTCATGCACGGAAACGGCTGAGATGATGGAGCCGACCCCACCTGGAGCTTGAACGACTTAAGGCCCTTCCACCCCGCCAAATTTCTTAGGACAGCATCAAACGTCACACCTGACTTCCTCTACATCCATCAATTCCTCTTACAAACCTCCAATATGGCCTGCGACAACTGCAAAACCGGCTTCAAGTGGGGCGCCGAGTCTGTCGGCAAGGAAACCAAGCTCGACAACATCGACTGCTATGTTACCGGCGACAACAAGGATGCCGCTATCCTTATCATCACCGATGTCTTCGGCTGGACACTTCCCAACATCCGCATTCTGGCAGACCACTACGCGAAGGAAGCCAATGCGACCGTCTACGTTCCCGATGTGTAAGCAGCTACGCGACGCGACGCATACATTCAGCGCAACCATGGAACTAACGGCCATTGCACAGGTTCGGCGGCGAAGTCGTAGACCCCGACGCGATGTCCGACCCAGAGAAGGCGAAGAAATTCGACGTCATGGCCTTCATCGGCCGCAACAACAAGGACATCCGCTACCCCGAGATCAAGCAGCACGCCCAGACCCTCAAGTCGCAATACAAGAAGGTTGCCGCCATCGGCTTCTGCTACGGCGGATGGGCCGTCTTCAAGCTCGGCGCCGACCCTTCGCTCGTCGACGCCATCTCGACCGCCCACCCCTCCATGCTCGAGAAGTCGGAGATCGAGAACGTGAAGGTCCCCGTCCAGGTCCTTTCCCCCGAAAACGACCAAATGTACACTGAGGAGCTGAAGAAGGCTACATTGGAGACGCTGCCCAAGACTGGTGTCCAGTGGGAGTACATTTACTTCCCTGGTCTAAACCACGGCTTTGCTGCCCGTGGTAACCCCAACGACCAGAAGCAGAAGGATGGTCTGGAGAGGGCGAAGAGGAGTGCTGTGAACTTCTTCAATGAGTTCCTGCACTAGGACATATGTTACGATAGTCATATGATCTCCTAACGAATTTAAATGAAATGATACCTCAGCTATGGCTTTTCTCTCGTTATCCGGTCGACAAATAAGTAGGAAGTAAGGCATCAGGTCACGAATGAGCCGGTGAGGATGTTGAAGTGAATATGTGAATGAGTTGCTGGTTACTGCTGTTACAAAGTGTACGTTTCTTTGACGTCACGCAGAATCCTCTTTTTAAATATATACATGAAGGTCTTTCCAACTTCCGGCTGGAACGATACCATCGTCCGACGCATCTTATGCGCCGTTGACCAAGCGAGCGAGCCTAGACCTGGTCTCCCAACCCCAAGCGCCAACACTGCGCTTAGCCATAGCAGCAACGCTCTTAGCATAGTTGTTCGTGCCGTGACTGGGATCAGCATCCTTAGCCTTGCAAGAAGCGCCATCCGAAGGGCCGCCAAGAGGGCCCTCAACGGCAGCAAAGTGCTGCTTCTCGCTGGTCGTGCCGACCATGTTCTTCGCAGCCTCAGGAACCCAACCGTTGATGAAGTCACCGTGCGAGCACCACGCAGGTCCGCAAGCCAGCTTGAATGGCGAGGTGGTACCGGACCAGCCGTTGGGCAAGGCCTTGCGCATATCGTAGCGGATGGAGAAGCGGAGCTGGGGCATAGACTTCATGCCCTTGGGGCACCAGTTGGGCGTTCCGTTGTCGCGGCTCTTGTAGCCGGTCTCGAGGGTCTCTTCGTTGACACACTGGGGGAAGAAGAGGAGTTGCTGGACGTGGGTGGAGCAGGTCTTGGTGGGGAAGCCGTTGGCATCGAGAGGGATGTCTTCGCTCTCGCAGCCCCATGAGGCCTTTGCGTTGACGTCCATAGCGTCGGGGGTCATGGCGTCGGCTTTGCCGGCAACCATCTGCAAGTCTTGTGGGATGGCGACCTCAGCGGGTGTCTCACCCAAGTTGTAGTAGGCGCTGAAGCGGAAGACGGGGACGGGCTCGTAGTTCTTGCCATCTTTGGTGTATAGGAAAGTAGGCACCCAGTAGCTGGACAAGTCGTTGGGGTTCTCGGCGGTGGTGCATCCCTTTTGGAGTTCAGCGCTGGTCTTGGTGCCGGCGACAACGGCGTCGGAGCCGTAGAAAGAGTGAAGATGCGACTTGTCAAACTCGCCAGGGTAGACAATGGGGTCGATGTTCTTCTCCATGAAAGGGGGAGGAATCTGGATGACGGTGTACGCGTTTGCGAACTGAGCGAGCAGACCCGCAGCAAAAAGAGTGTAAAGAGACATCCTGTGCCTTAGTAACGAATGTAATAAACGATAGAAGAAGTTGAAAAGATAGTAAAGTTGGTAAGAGAATGAAGCGCGATGAAGAAACAGTAACACGAGGCGCGCTCGTAGTACTTATGCCTGAGGCTCGCGCCTCGTGCCCACCATGCCACAGCCCAGGGCATCCTTCCCTCGGGGCGTCCACCAAAGTTTCAAACCTCCTGGTGTTTTCGCCCAAGCGAGGCATCTTCGCCGTTAGGCCTAGGACTATTGTGGAGGTTAGGGACCGCGGCATGAACGACAGGAGACGTTGCCGAGGCGCTAAGCCGGTCTCTTGCTCTCTCATTGGCGGATCGCCCGTGCCAAAACACTAGTGTCCGCTGTTCCGCGTTTAACAGTTTCGAAACTGCGAAACAAACTGCCTTTGTCCTTGCTTTTCATTTCCTCCGAACAGTAATCGGCTTTCTGGATACGGATGCGTTTTGTGGCGCTATACGCTGGGGCATTGCGATGTGGCGTGAAGAACATGATTCACTGCGATTAGAACTTGAGGGCGGACTAGTACGATTGCAGTTATGCGTGCGCGTATCTACGACATCCGAGGAGTCCAGTACCTACTGAGTGTTGAAGAGCAGATCCGTTATCATTAAGCTAACTTCGAAGGCTGCGCTTCCAAGGGTTTGTGTGCACATCACGTGCGTGGCGCATACAACATGCGGCGTCGTAAACAATTCGCTACCGATCAACGAAGCTGCGACATCGCTTCTACATTTCACGCCCTGACACCGCAACCACCTCTACTGTCATCTGCAATCGCGCAACGTTCACAGCGACCTCGCACATCTTGATAGGTAATCTGCTGTGGTTCCACAGTATGCACGACGAAAAGCGCCACGATTTGTCCCTCTAGTGTCCTGCTCACGCTCACACTTTTCCAACCACTGTATCGCCGCCTTGGCCCAGCGGAAAGGGGAGCTGCTTGTGTTCGAATATTGATCGAGATGCTTTGCGAAGAATGCGTACGTGTATTCTCACGCGGCGACCGCAATCATCATTCGAGCCTTGCCTCTCTCACCAAAGCAGTAACAGCCGGATGCTACATCTGTACTCCCTTGTGGGAATCTGTAAGGCCAGAGACTGGGCACTTGGAGGACGACCTGGAAAGTCACTTCATCATCGGTCGGATCCTAGATAGCTCTTCTCGAGTTTCCCGTTCTCTACCAAAAGAACATATCATCAGCTGTTCCTCTTTATTCACGCGAGGGAGAAAGAAAAGTGTTGCCCACAGTTTTCCGAAAAGGCTCGACTCGCGGAGTTTTGTCGCTGTACCTACAGCGAACGTCCCAGTGAATGTCGGTACATATGGCAGATGGTCCACAATACCCATGGCAGAATCCTTACAGGCTGCGCAAAAGTGGATGAGCACTTGTCTAGACACCCATGAGCAGTGTCAGAAACACAAACAACCACATACATATCCGACACGGCTCCTCGAACTTGGCAGCCACAAAGTCAGCCTAATACTGCCACACGAAGAGGAACTATCAGGCCCGTATGCTGCTTTGAGTTACTGTTGGGGCCCAAATCCGAGCTTCATCCGGCTAACGGCCGATAATATGCAAGATTTTCGGCTCGGAATACTCTGTTCAGATTTACCCATTGCTTTCCAAGAGGCAATTCGCTTCGTAGAAGGGCTCGGAATCCGCTACGTCTGGATCGATGCTCTCTGTATCATACAGTCTGGCAGGGGGAGTAGTGAAGACTGGCAGTTGGAGTGCAGTCGCATGCAAGAAGTGTACTCGAATTGCATCATCAATATTTCTTTGGTACAGGCTGCGCACCCGGACCAAAGCTGTATGGGAGGTTATACTCGTAAAGCGAATCTGCCTTTCACTACAAATGTGGCTATGCGAAGAATGGGTGGAGATTTTACCGGCACAGCTCCTGCCTTCACTGTCATACCAAGCCAGTACTTCCGACATTCACTTTATCAACAGCCCCTCGGAAGTCGTGCATGGGTCCTACAAGAACGCCTGTTGGCTACCCGCGTCTTGAGCATTGGCCATGGAGAACTTTTCTGGGACTGTGAACGGGTCCTTAACGCAAGCGAATCTCTTCCATGTGGCTTCGAACTTTGTTCTGACCCTACGAGGGCAGTTCTGAGTGAAGCGCTGGGTCTTCAGATATCTTCCATTCCACAGGCCTCA